TTTTTTTTAAGATTTTTTCTGCTTCTGGTATAGCTGTTATTTTGTAAAATTCAGTTATTATCTTATATGTTGGTGTTTTGTCAAGTATAGTATCATAGTATATAATTATATGTGCTAAGAAGTATGTATCAATTAATTGTTCAGTTAAGAATTGAATAGCTTGTTCTTTGTTGAAGAAGTTGATTTTATAATTTTGTATAGCATGGTTATGATAAGCTGTTAGGTATTAGTAAAAATAATAGTTTCAATATTTAGTATTTGTTTTAATATTATTAGCTTTACACACGTATTCCTCTACCTAATCAGCTAACTCATTAAGAAGTTGAGTAGGTATTTTAGTTTTTAGAGTAGCTTTGTATTCTCTCTCAATATAAAAGTTAGAAGTATCTATAGGTAGAAGTTTCTACTATTCACTTTCGTTAGGTGGGTAAGCAACTTCTGAGTATTTTAGGACTGCTTTGTATAGTTAGTTAGAGTTATATTATATAATGTATTCTTTTTTCTCCTTTCCTTTATTTTCAGTATTTGGTTTGTCTGTTGTAATAGTTGTTTTAAGGTATTTGTAGGCTTCATTAGTACATGTAAGAATGTGATAATTTGAGAATCTAGTTGCTTCTATTTAGTGTTCATAATGAAAGTTAGGTTTTTTTATTTTATATTTTTTTGATAAGAGTTTAGTCAAATAGAGGATAAAGTGTTGTTTGATTTGGTGTTTAAGATAGATAAGGGTTTTTTGTTTATTGATAAGATTTTTAAATTGGCAAGAGTATGCTAGAAAGATTTTTTTGAACCATTTGCTAAGGTTGTTAACTGAGTTTTTAAGTGAAAGAATGTTAAAGTTATTAAGAAAAAAGGTTTTAGAGAGGTTGAATAGTATATTAATGTTGAATTTTAGATCTGAAGAGATGGTAAAGTATTCTTTTTCTTGGTCAAAGCATTTGATTTTGAAGTCAATTTTAAATTTTTTTGGTCTAAGTTTAAAATCTTCATTGAATTTTTTGTAGTTAATAGATTAGAAGTTGTTAGTTAGATAGAGATAAAGTTGTGTTATATTTAAACAGATTTAAAGACAGTTTTGAATTTTGTATAGAGAGATAGTAATAGGAGATGCAAAAATCTCTCTATAATTCATTTTAGTAAATAGGATAGTAGTAAATTTTAGTAATAGATCTTTTAAAGTTGATTCAATAAGATCAAAGTAAATTGTTGTATCTGAGTTAATTTCTGGATTTGCTTAGTAGATGAGTTCTGTCAGAAACTTAGGTTTTTGGCTAGCCATTGTGCAAATAAAATATTTAAAGGATATTTGTTCAGGAGTAAAGTTAGAAAGATTTTCTTTGAGAAAGTTAAAAAGTTGGAATAATAGCTTGGTTTGGAGTTTGGTATTGGGTTTTATTTTCTCTGTAATTGAGAAGTTAGCAAGCTAGTCATAGACTGGATTTGGTTTAGGTTTGTTAGTTTTAGTATAAGATTTTAGTAGGTCTTTGAATAAAGCATTTGCATAAATTAAAGTTTTGTTTTGTATAGGTTGAGTTAGTGTGTTGTTAGTATTTTTTTTTAGAGTTTATGTTTTGAATAAGTCTATTTCTATACTATTTGGGTTTGTTGGTGAGGTTGGTTTTCAGTTTGTTTGTCTTTTGTAGAAGAAGAAAATTCAATTTCCATATTTGATAAAATTTCTTTTGTAATTATAGTAGTTGTGATGAGTGGTTGAGAGGTACTGGTATTAATTGTTAGTATAAGAGGAGTTAGCGTAAAAGAAAGTAGGTTTTGGAGTTGTTGCTGCTTTTAGAAAGTAGAAGTTAAGTTTTTTATAGTAGAAGAAATATCAAGAGTTGCTGAGAATATAGAGCTAAGATTAGTAGAAGAGAAAGAGTTAATAGTGTTATTTGGAAGACAAGTATAATAGTATACTTCATTTTCATAAAATGTAGTGTCATTAGCTAGTCTGTAGTTGTTATTAGTAAGTTTGCATCTGATAACAAGCCAGTATTTTGAGTAGGTATGTTGGCAGGAAATTGGTGTAGGAGATGGTGGGATGATTTCAGTAATTCCTTCCAAGTTTTGAAAAAAGACCTTAGTTTTTTTGTTATTAGAGTTTGTGGGAAGAGTAATAAAGCTAGAAATAGTAATATTGTATTCAGTATTGTTTGCAGAGATAAAGCTGATATGATAAGTACTACAGAGAAATTAGGTTATAGCAGAAGTTTTAGGAGCAAAAAAGAAGTACGTAGCTTTAGTATTGCTTTGAAGAGTTTTGGTAAGACAGGTGATAGGTTTGCTTTTAGATAGAATTGGTGTAATATTTTTTAGATCTTCTTCATAGAAGGCTACTCCAAAAGTATTGGAGCACTTTCTGTAGAAGTAGTCTAAGTCAAGAGTATCTGGGACTTCACTAGTTAAGGTAGGCATATCAATAGTATCAAGTTATATATATATATACAGGTGTGATAAGGTCGAAAAGAGCTTATCAGGAAGGTATAGTTTATATTGCATAATAGTAAGTGACTTATATAATTTGTATAACTTGTATGACTTAGACCTGTGTAGCTAGTATAGCTTGTAGCTAGTGTAGCACAAGTCAGGTATTGTTTTTGTAGTACTGAGTACAAGTATGTAGTACTGAGTTAAAAATAGATTAAGTAGTACTGTATGCAGTACTAATTAAAGATGAAACAAATATGTAATTAATTAATTTGTGTTAAATTAATTATAATTTAGAAAGAAAATAATAAATTTAGTGTAATTATCAGGTTGACTAGTGATTTTTTACCAGGTTGTCATGTAACCTAATCTCAGATTTGAAGGGAAAAGAGAAAAAAGAGAAAAAATAAATAAGTTTTAGAAAAAAGCCTTAAAATAGATTTTTGAAGTTTGTTTGCTAAGTTTCAGTCCGTTTTGAATAAAACTTATATCAAAATGAAGCCAGTAATATGCTGGACACAACTCTATTAGTGAACAAGAGCTGTTAGCTTAGTAAATTATTGTAAAATTTCTGGAGGAACTGTTTAATAGTTGTAGCAAAGTAACTTTATATGTAGAGGTCTGGAAAGTATAAAACTAGACTATCTTAAAGCAAAATTTTGTGTAGAACAATTTTGTTTAATAGCCTAAAAGTTGTTTACTTAATAAAATATTTAGTTATAACAAAATGTTTTTGGGAAGTTTTGGTACAAATGATCTACAGTAAGAGTTACTCCTTGTTAATTTCCATTATTAAAAATATATTAATTTAATTACTATATATATATTTTTAGACTATTCTAATACATAGTCGATTCAAGTCTTGAACCAACTATAACAACTTTAAATTTATTAAAAAAACTGTGACTTTATAATAATTTTCTAAAAACTTACTGTCAAATTCGAATCTATACCTTTCAAGTTAAAAAATATACTGATAATAAATGCTATATATATCAACCTATTCAAATGCTACTTGAATAGTTTGAAACTTTATTTTTTTTATCTAATCCTAAACTTTCTACAGATAAGATTATGTCTAAAAATTTAAAAGTTTCATATTTCAATTAAAAAATTCTATTATGTACATAGATAAAGAACATTATAAAGAGTTTGATAAAATATATAGGCAATCAACAATGAAGAATATCAGTTATCACAGTAAAAAATTACTAATAAAGAATCTTATGCAGGAAAATTTATAAATACAAAGATTCGACTTCTAGTTTGCTATGATTTTTGTGAGAAATATCGCTGGATTTATAGTGATACATCTTTAAATAAAGATGATTCAGAAATAATTGTATAATACCTTGAAAATATTTCATATAGCTGTGGATTTCTACTTCTTCTAGATGAAACATCTACTTTCTGATCAACTCTATATACGTCAAGATATCACCTGTGATTCACCTATTGAGCGAAATTATTATTCATGTCGTATAAAAGATGTTGACTTATGTTATTGGTGCGGTGCAGAAGATGGTATTTTAGATCCTTCAAATGAGTTAAAATCACAATTTAAAACTATTTACCACTTTGTTTCTTATGTAATACTGATTGCCGTGAATGGTCTACTCGTGCACCAAAGGTGTTTAAAAACAAAACCAAAAAAATTCGCTATTAATATATGTTCAAAATTTCTATCGGCACCAAAAATCTCCACAAAGAACGTCGTTAGATAAAATCGAGACTTAGGTAGCAAGGAAACCAGAAAAAAGATAATTCCGCTATTATTAGTAGTGGCAGTAGAAACAATAATTTTTTTAAGTAGCGGTATTAATATAATTTTAGATAATAATAACGATAATGAAAATGGTGATAACTAGTGTGGAGCGGGGAAAGGAACACCCATTACTTTACTACATGTAATGATCCCGGCTTATTCCTCCCTCTTTTTTCTTGCCCCATACTTCTATACATTGTTATTTTGGCCAGCCAAATAACTAATTCTCGATTATATGTTAAAAAAATATATATTAAAATTGTAATTTTCACGTAAAATACACGTTTGGCATATATGTATCTTATATTTTATTTGAAACAATAAATACCCCTTTTCGAGTTCCTCTTTAATACTGTTTTGGTCAATAACATTTATCTTGATGAGGCGTGAATGTGTATTTGTCAGGTCAAAAAATAGTACATTTGATTAATACAAGTTCCCATACTACTATCTCCACCTACGAAAACAGTGTTTTTGCTAATGTCAAAATTTGTCTAAATTGTCTAAATGTCTAAATTGTCTAAATTCAATTTGCCTAAATGTCTAAATAATTTCGACTAACAACATTATTCCAGTACACTTTTTTGTGTTTATAAGGCAAAAATGGGGTGGCAGCAATTCCCTATATATATGTCTAGAAATAATTTTTGCAAGGTCGATTTAATGTTTGAGATTATATAACTTATAAATTATTAATTATTTCGGCAATTTATAATTGAAATAAGAATTTTAAGCAGATTTAAAAAATCAATAGTAACAATATAAGTATATAGTAAATACTGTAGTGTAAATATTATAGTTTATATCCAATTTAATATACAACTCTGGCTTTTAATGGATATTTCTTGCCATTCTGTTCACCTCGGAAATAAGTATTATGCAATTTTCTTACCATTTGGTATGCCTCTTGCTTTGATTTAAATACAAGTAACCATTTGGATGACATAGGTGCAACTCCAGATCTAAAAAAATTAATTAGCATTAGATTAAACAAGAATTAACAGATTAATAATTTGAAAATAATTTAATTTCATACATTGGTAATGGTATAAATTGTTCGCAGAGTGTATTTGAGATGCCTGGATAATCCGATACGAGCGTTTCTTTTATACTATCAATTGCAATATTAACTGGAAATCCTGTTACAATGATGCAATTTCCTGGTTCCCTACGTAAATGTTGAGGCATTCTTCGCGGAAATTCATAATATTTCGACTAAATATAGTTTTGTATATTAATTATGTTATTACTTCTTTAACAAAAATAATACAATATTTAATTTTTAAATAATATTTACATGGGTAACCATGTCCAATTTATGTCCACATAATGATGTCATGGAATTCCTTGCCATGAATCGCTCTGCATCCTTTTCGGTATGAAAACGTGCCATAACTGATCCTGTGAACTGAAAGTAATTGTTACGAACAAATGTAACTACAATGTTTTAAACGCATATAATTGTATATTAATTGTTAATTTAATTCGTCAATCTTATGATTTCAAAAAATAATAAAAATATTTAGAAAACATACTTTCGCTGATAGAACTTACACCCTTAGATGTATCACCCGCTAACATTTTGATGTCACGAGGGATTACTGTATATGGTAGGTTTTTGATCTCGATAAGATTGGTATTCCTTCCCTTAATCACTAAAAGGAATGTTTGTGAATCAAAGTTGAATTTTACTATATTAAAAATTTTAAATAATTACATAAAATGCCTTCTATCACGTGCATGTGGCCAACCTGGAGGAACATTTGCTCGCAAACCTTCCGGTAACCTCTCCCATTTCTTTGCCATTTCAGAAGGTTTAAAAGGCTTTTGTGATACGGAATCCCCTCTTAACTTTGCTGCAAAAGAACTTTTTGAAGAGAGAACTAGTGTTGGTAAACGAATCCATTTTGGTCTATCGACGAAAGACGGCACTAAACCCGCTGAAAGACGAAACATTTCGTCAAGAGGAAACCCCCGCAGACAATAAAACTCTAGTTAAATGTTAACCCTTATTGTAACTACGTTTACAATCATATATTGTTGTAGGTAAACTTTTTTTTTTATGTGAGAGCAAAATCAAATTTATTATCAAATTGAATCGATAAAAATATATCGATATTGATAATCAGTTTTGTCGATCATTAGATAAAATACTAAACTAAATTATAAAAAATTGATGTGCTTTATTTTTTTTCAAATAATTATTAAGATATAATGTGAAATAATAGTGAACAAAAGAATATTAACATTAATAGGTTCATAATTAACATCAAAGACATTAGTCACGATGATGATAATCCAGTATTAACCCATTTGCTAACTCCACTTGTCTCCTACTTTATTATTTCCCATACCAGAGGGTGAATAATTAGGGGAATCACTAGACCCAGTAGATATGGAATTCATCGAAGCAGAGGAAAGCATGACATTACTATTATTTGCCTGATGGACAAAATATAGAAAAACCACACTTGCCAGTCCACTCACAAGAAATATTACATCAAACCATCGATGATAGAAATTGAATTCTATCGACCCTAAAAGATTAGATATGGTATTTCTGTATATCGCAGGTAGTGACATTCTCATCATTAAGAATGCACTTAGAAAGTACATTCCCATTATTTGTGCCAATAATAAAACAATGTCATTTCGCGATACCGAATTCGAAACAGCTCGGAAAAACTGTGAAAAGAAGAGTAAAATTGAATAAGAAATAGTTATATCAGTCATTAAATTTCTCGAAATTTAATTATAAAAAACAAACTTTTAGCAATTGTATAAGTAGTCCACGAATGGAAAAAATGATCATAAGTCCGACAAAGAAGAAACTCAGCTGTTGGGACCAAAAATCGACATTTAAATCAATTTTTATATATCTAATCGCTAATGTCAAGCCATATGTTATCGGATCGGTTTTTCCTATCCGGAAAAAAATGATGTTAACGGTTGCCTTGTACAAGTAGAAAAATTAAATAAGTCTCTAAAATTGAATAGTGTTACATAATGAATTAAAAAAAATTTTTAATTACCATAATTATTTTATATATACAATAAATAGAAAAAATATAACCCATGAAATTAAAGTATTTTCCTTGCCATGTTTTTGAATATTGAAGACGGTCCTATGTTTATTCCAAATTAGTGATCAGAAGAGATACGATTGAAGACCGATAATAAAAAAATAAAATTCATAAAATACCCGTTCTTGATATAAATCATCAATATCTATAAATAATTGGCGACTAAGATTTTCTAGTCCAACGACTTCTTGACGTAACATTCCAATGTCTTTTATGCAAAAATGTAATATAAATAAAAATAAACCATTGATAGGTGTTGATGAATATGATACGTACTTTCGCCGCCCATTCCCATATGATTGGTCATTGTGTTAATCATTTTTCGCATAAATCCACCAACTCGAGAACCTTGCTATTTAAAATAAAAGGTCAGTTATTATCTTGTTTAAAGTATGATCAATTTTATAAACAATAATACCTCTACAGCACTTCTCTGACGCGCTTGAGAAATCAAAATGCGCCTTTTTTTACTTATGATTATATCTAATGTTTGAATATATTTCTTTTCGGCAGCTTGTATATCCGCGTCAGTGACTTGTCTACATTATAAGACTTTATAATGGTTAATAAAATGAAATAAATGTTTAAAATCATCATCAATTACCTCAAGAACACAAAGTTCTAGAGCATCAAATTTGAAACACACCTCAGAAAGAAAAACAATGTGGCATATGGACTGTTCACTGCACCGAATCCCGATAATATCGCCATAATAGTTACACCTATTACACCTACACGACTCATGCCGAATTGTATAAAAACATCACCTTGTGGAGTTTTTGTAGAATCGGTGACACTTGATGAAAAATCATCTAAAAAAGAATTTAAATAAATTTAATTTTCCATAAATAACATTTTCTTTAAATTTCCGCGATGAAATATTTATAATACTTTTTTCTGCTGCACTAGTGGTTTTTTCGATGGGGAAAAAGTCACCGACTCTCCAGAAAATATAGAAATAAGTTGCCCAGCATAATACTACAATCGCAATGGAATATCGTAATCGCAAACCTTCAATTGATGAATATCACATAAGCATTATTGTTTGGAATCACTAACAAAACTTAAAACAACTAACTTTCTTGTATTTTCGTTATTATGAGATATAGTTGATAAAATGGCATAAGTATAATCACGAGGAAGAGTAATATATATAGAGTAACCTTCCAGCAAAACCATCTCGAACTACGCGAATATTTAAAATATTTAAATTCGGTTTATTTTATTTTATTTTATTTTTTGAAAAGAAAGAATTTAATTAATTCTTTATTAAGGTTAAATGATAAATAATAGAGTATATGGATTTAAATTACTCTTTATGCATTATTTCCCCGATCTCAAATATTATTAATTCAAATAGAGCGCAGCTAGTACTAAACGTCAGTGAGAATATTGCTTGGACGACTTGAGCATCGCGACGGTCAGTAGAGGACTCATAATCCTTGAATAGTTTCTTTACTAAAAATATCCAGCCAAAAGCAAAAAACAATATTTGTGAACCAAATTGTATAAGGCCATCGTATAGTAAAGTGAGAGTAAACTCATGAACCATTTCTATAATAAAAAGTAAACTCGCTTATTCACAAAAGATCGATCGTTCTTTATATAGTTTTTAATTGGAACAGATATGGAACCGCTCAATGTTACACAAATGTTCATGTATTGTCACATTATATAGCCAGCCAATCAAATCGCAAAATTCAAAAATTAATAAAGAAATAACGATAACAGAAGAAAAACGAGACAAACAGAATATAAGTTACTCTCGTTATAGTGAATCTCTAGTTATAGTGAAGAACAATTTATATAAAAACCCTTTTGATATAATGAATTTACTAATAGAATCTCGATATAGTGAAGAAAATCTCACGAGAGTGACTTGTAAATTAACTTTAAAGTTTATAATTTTAAGTTTAGAATAAGTGCCTAGACTTGTCTCTAGTAGACAACAAACATTTATTTACTCGTTAATTAGCTTCTATATACTGTAATTACTATTTATTATAAGAACTTAATACAGTAATCTTTTCTATACTCGACTCTATCTAATATAAAATCCAAATATCTCATCTCGTACAATCTATCATAACATAATATAGTTAGTTAATAAATACATAGTTTCAGCATAATATATAAAAATATAGTACGTAAATCTTTATCGTATCTTAAAAAAAAAATTTGTTTGTTAGTTAACTTGTTAGACTTTTTGAAAAATTCTATACAAAGTATGCAATAAATATTAGGAGTTTGCCACTGGTGATTATCACCAGTATGAAATTAGTACGTATTATTTATTTCCTGGGAGCTTAAAAATTACGGCAGAGATTCCCGATGATCAAAAAGCATGTGGTTTACCGTACAGCGCTGCATACAGTACCCCCCTGGAAAAGTACCCCCTTTGAATAGTATCGGGGTACTATTCAATTGTAAATTTTGACATTTTTAAAAAGTATCCCGGTACTAATCAATCTTCAAAAAACTCATTTTTACTATATTCATACGTTATGTGATTAACTCACATGGTCAAAACTTTCATAGTACCCCCCTCGTATAGTACCTATCTCTTCACACAGTACCCCCCGAGGTACTATTTAATTAATACCGGTACTTTTTAAAAAAGACCGGGGGTACTGTATGCAGCGCTGTACGGTATATATTATGCAGTATAATAGCTATAAAATACGTCTAAAAATCTGTTACTCTGCTTAAATTGTGAAGACTGTATTTTCTATTTTATTATTTATTAGTATACTGTATTAATTAATTTATTTATTTATACTTTCAAATTTTATCAAATGATTTCTAAAATCATATTCCTCAAAAAGAAATGTATGTATAATTAACGATAAAATCCTTAATATAGTTTTATTAATCGCATATAATTCGGATAACTTATTTAATTTCGGATCTTGCATGAATTGCCATATATGTCCCATTGTCCTAATATTTTTAAATTCATATTTTCAAAATCGTTTAGAAATTTACCAAATACATTATGGTAAAAGAATATTGGAGGACTTGTATTTTTGAGTGGGCGACCATTATTGATTGGACTTTTTATTTGGGTCTTAAAAAAGTTTTCTGGCTTTGCTACAGTTGACGGACTAGCAGCATTAAGTGAAAATTCAACGGTCTTCTTATGCTCTACAGTGAAGAAAAAAATATAATAAAGAAATTTAACCATGGTGTTCATATGTTTATAAGCAAATCGATTTTTTTTTTTTTTTTTTTTTTTAAAAAAAAAAAAAAAGAATCGAATTGCACTAAGCACTGCATAAAGATAGTAAAAAAAGATTTTTATTGCTGATTTTGACAATATAAATTTATTATTATTGTCAAATATGATTTAAATCAGCAAAAAAGTAAATATGTGAATATTATTATATTAACCTTCTTGATATTTCAAATCTTTTTCTTTGTTATTGTTTTCTGAAGGAGTCAACGGGAGCTGATTTTCTTTATTACTCTAATAAATAAAAAATCATGTTAGTGAAAATATTCATTAAATAAAAATATTTGATGGGACAATTAAACAATCTCTTTGATTAATCTATAACTAAGCGTTTGAAATTAAAACTTCGTTTAACGTTATTCCCTCGGAAAGCTAGACAAACAATCAATATTAAACACAAGCAAAACCTAGGTTAGAGTCACTTGAACCTAATTTAGGTTCATCTGAACTACCTGAACCTTGATTAATTTTAGTTTTTACCCTCTCCCTCTTGGTACAAACATTAAGCAATAAATTTATACGAAAAAATCCGGACATGTACAGTACCTCTAGTATTTTTTTACCACTTAAATTAATATCTTCATTATGATTGAAAGATATTTGACCAGGTCTAATGAGCACTCCCATGTTTTTAATCCACCTACAATAGAGATCATAAATATTAATAAAAATAATGTTTTATGTTAAAATCATATATAAAAATTTTAAAATCACCTTCATAAATACCATGCACCATATCATTATCAGTGGTTAATTCTAAAAAATTTTCCAGGACTAAATGAATCTTTATTAACATCACTTTCTAATTTGTCATCTTGTGCTATTTAAAATTTTACATCTGAAAGACATCGTTTGTGAACAAAAGGTTCCTTATCAATCATAGATGTAAAGACACGTTCAATTATAAACTTGTCGGAAGTACGAAGGGCTAAAATTTTATTAATTAATATATATTATAATGGTTGGAATCGATTGAGAAATTAATCAAAATAATGCACCGGGGTATTATCTTTAACTAAATAAATTAAAGACACTTTTAATTAAAGCCCCGAAACGTTATTATGAAAAATATATAATGATTCCAACCTCTACATTATTTAAAGGAAATCCTAACAGACTCGTAATGATTAATTCACTTGCTGGAATAAGTGTATTTTTATCCAAAGTCAAACTATTGTCAATTAAATGCGAAAGTTAACTAATAGTGTACACGTCTGATAATAGATTATTATTTAAAGGTAAAGAATATATATATATATATATATATATAATAATCATAATATGCATACCTGAGTAGGATGTTCTCCAACACCATCTCCTGCATTTATGATCGG